CCAGTGTTCAGTACAATGGGGATGGAAGGTTGAACTGCAATAGTCATTATTTAAGTCTTGGATTATTGGAGGGTTGAACTGTCTCCTAAGTCAACTGTGTTCAGGACAGACAGAGACTTCACACATTTCCACATGTACCTTGCCAGAATTGCTAAGGGATGGAGCTGGGTTCAGGGTCAAGTTTATACGAGTTGTGCTGAGATTTGTGTGTTTAAACCTCTTGTCTCAGGAGATGCAGAGACATTAAAACATTTAAACATCCGCTAAGCTGCTGAAGGATGAAGTTCAAGGTTAAGGTCAGGTACCTCAGAGTCTGTAAAAATCTGTGGGAGTTGTGCAGAGTTGTGTGTGTTTGCCTTCCCTCACAGCCAGCCTATCTTTGGCTTAGTGTGTGGGTGACGTTATGTTAAGTGGGTGTATTTGCCTTCCCTCAATGCTGGTAGGTTGGAGTTATGACATTAAAACATTCGCACATGCACTTTGCCAGAGAATGAGGGATGTACAAGTACAAGGTTAGGGCCTCTATAAAATGTGTGGGAGTTGTACATACTGTGTGTGTTTGCCTTCCCTCGAGTTGATGCTGGTAGGTTGGAGTTATGCTGATGTGTGCTTCCCCTCGACACTGGCCTATCTTTGGCTGCTGTGGGTCAGAGTTGTACTCAGTTGTGTGTGTTTGCCTCCCCTCCACCCCGGCCTATCTTTGGCTGGTGTGTTTGCCCAGAAGGCCTGGGCCATGCCAGCAGGTCAGACTGTTGTCTGGTTTCGCTGAGGGGAGAGACAGTCCTTAGTCTAGTGATTGTAGCTGTTATTGAAGTACAGTTCAGTTCAGTTTTAACACTGTCTGATATCTGTAACGGTATAGCCGATACAACCGACCTTTGTCAATATGGAAGGCACACTCTAACTACAGGTACTTATAGGCCATTATTCATTAAGCTTTTAATCCTGTTGTCTTTTTCAAGTTATAATAGTACAGTAAAGGAAAAAAGTCTGCCTGTTTTACTTAAGGTAACGTTACTAGTAGTTATTTGGCACCAAATTTGTATTCATTAAGGAGTTATTATAGTAGTTAGGCAGCAGGGATTAAATAGACAGCAAATTGTCTGTAGGAGGGCATTCTTGTCTAGATCTCAGTACTGTTATAAAAAATGTAGTAGTTTTCTTGTGTGAAACATGTCTGTAGCAGGGCACCTTTTCTTGCAATTGTCTTAGACTTCTGTAGTTGTGAAACATTTAAGCCCAGCCCAGTGCCGTGAACCGTTCCATTGTTTTACACCTGCCCAACCAGCCGGACCACTTCTTTTGGGGAACACCCAGATCTAGACCACATCACAGACTACAGAAACAACATGGACACCGGACACTGAGAGCTGTACAGTCTTACCTTACCTGGCACAGGTACAGTTTTGTCTCACCTGGCAGCTGAACTTGCCTTTCGTGTGCAAACACACCTGTCCCTGGGACTGCCAGGTGTGGCCAGGTAAAGCTGACACCTCTTAAACCAGGTGAGCAAAGACTCAGGTGACATGCTGTCACTTGTCATGCCCAGGTGACACATACATTGTACATGTATGACGCAAGTGACACATGTGACATACCGATACGACCAGCTCATAGCTTTCCCAAGGCTTTTTTAGATTCAAACCCAGAATTTTTTGTTGTTTTTGTCCTACTTTGTTGTCAGAGAAATGCAACATGACCCAGTTTTTACTTATTACATATAGCACGTTGTACACTTTTTATAGTAGTTCAAGGTTTTCTTTTCGTCTTTTTTCCTTCTTGTGTTAAAGGTTTTCTTTTCATTTTTTTTCCCTTCTTGCGTTTCTCTGGACCTGTCATTCAGCCGACCACCTGTTTGAGAAATGGCAGAGGTAACAGCGATTTCTGAGGGGGGGTCTGACGTACCCCCCTCCCAGCACCCCGAGGTACCCCCCTCCTTTCCGGACTCGGATACACCCCCTCCTGCTCAGAGCACAGTGCAAAGTGACAGTCAGGCTGGAAATACATGTGCAAATGTCAGCCCTGCAAACCAGAATCTTAGCTGTACGGATGTGAACTCTATAACTAGTATAAGTCTGGAGGAGCAAACAGGCAACAAGCATGGAGGCAGCAGTGACGAATGTGTGGAGGAAAAACTGGAGAAAGATGAAGGGAGCACAAACACAGGAAAATGTACTGCAAACCCCCACAGTCACAGCTGTACAGATGGGAACTCTATAAGCCTGGAGAAGCCAGCAAACAAGCATGGAGGCAGCAGTGGCAACTGTAAGGAAGAACTGAGGAAAGATGGAGGCAGGAGTAACGAATGTGTGGGGGAAGAACTGGGGACAGATGGAGGAAGCGCAAACACGGGAAAGTGTACGAATGGAGAACCACCTCACACCTGTGCTGCACCTGGGGAAGAACTGCCACACACCTGTGCTGATGAACACCTGCAGGAGGCAGGTGAGACGTCACCTGGCCGGACACCGGAGGAGCAGTACGAGAACCTTTACACCTGTCTGCAGGTGGCCAGGATGCCAGGTGAGTTCAGGTGACAGGTGGGCAGGTGACATTTACATCTGTTTACAGGTGGCCAGGATGCCAGGTGAGTTCAACTGGACAGGTGATATTTACATCTGTTTACAGGTGGGCAGGTGGAACAGGTGACAGCTGGGGCAGGTGACAGATGGGACAGGTGACAGATGGGGCAGGTGGGCAAGTGACAGGTGGGACAGATGACTGGTGATATTTACACCTGTTTACAGGTTGTCAGCTGGGACAGATGGCAGGAGGGAAGGTGATATTTACACCTGTCTAAAGGTGGCTAAGGTGCCTGGGAGGGTTCAGGTGAACAGGTGACAGGTGGGTTGGGTTGGCAGGTGACATTTGGTGGTGCCTATCTTAGGATACGGACAGTGAGAGTTAGTGTCTGTTTCAGTTGATAGACAATGATAGTCAGGATCAGTGCCTAATGTTCTCTTTTATTCACTCAGTTATCCAATACTATCTCAGGTAGTTAGAGCTGTTAACAGCAGTGAAACTTGTCAGCCAAACGTTACTGTGTGAAAGTCTGTGGTACCAGGTCAGTGATTGCAGTATCATTAAGTGTATAACAGACTGTTTTAACGGCAGTTTGGAGCCGAAGGGCTTCAGACCAATCAGAGCATAGCAGGGAAGATGGGGCCTAACCTGGGGGATCGACATGCTGTAGCTGTGTGTCAACTAGGACCTGTATGATAATGGGGAATGAAAGACCTAATTAATTACACATTAATTTCATGCTCTTGCAAGCTGTCAATGAAATATATGTCAGGGTGATAAATTTCTACTAGTTGTATTGTACAATAACAGTGATACAAGTCTAGCATCTTGAATTACATGCATCTACAGCTGTTTACTAGTGCGATACTACTATCTAGTGCGACAAGAGCCCAGGAACATTGGAGTGTAAAGGCCTATGCAATGTCTCTATGATGTGATTGAGTATTAGTCTCAGTGGAAGTGTTCCAGTGGCCTAATCCAACTCTGTTTTATCTGATGTGTGCAAATGTTTGGGTTTAGTGTAATATAGATTGGAGCCTACAGCACTATATATGAATGAATAAATGAATGGATGGATGGATGGATGGATGGATGAATGAATGAATGAATGAATGAATGAGTGAGTGAGTGAGTGAGTGAGTGAGTGAGTGAGTGAGTGAATGAATGAATGAATGAATGAATGAATGAATGAATGAATGAATGAATGAATGAATGATTATTTTCGTGTTATTGCGACCATATGTCGCCCATCCCATATAGGCTTATAAGGCACCGACAATTATAAAATCATAACAACTCAAAAGGTAGAGAGAGTCAGAATCAGATATAACATAAATTATAACGTAACATAGTATATAAGTAAATAAATACTGGAAATTAAGTAGTACTGGTCATAATACAGAAATCAAATATATGAGTGTTAGTCTCAGTGGAAGTGTGCAACTGGCCTGTGTGTGTGCTGGCTGTGAGTAGGGTTAGTGTTAGATTGGAGCCTACAATACTATAATCATATAAGGGTTAGTCTCAGTGGAAGTGTGCTACTGGCCTGTTGACCCTATGGTTCCATGTGAAAGTGCACCGCAGGCCCAGCGCCCAATCAAACGTGCTGGAAACTGTGTCAGCCATTCCCCCATACAACTGCATTTTGCATATCGGGTTTCATTTTACAGATAGGGTTTCACTGTTTGACATGATTTGATTTATTATTATACTGTAGTCTATAAACAGATATACAGCCAGGGGCTGTCTAACTGCCCAGAGGCTATTATACATTTGTAAAGGGCTAGCCGGCATAAGGCCACACCAATTTAATTTGTTGGTTCTCAGATTTTTTCCGAAAAAATATGAAGCGACAGGGCGAAAAAAATAAAAATAAAAACAGGTCTAGGCATCCTATTATAGCCCCAAATGCTACGATATGAGCCATGAAGTCAACAAAAAAGGCTGGGTTAAAATTTAAAGTATAAATTTTGAACTTTTAATCAAACCACTGCATTGATAGATGGAAAAAAACTGTAACAACTAGGAAGAAAAGGAATTTCCTCAACTGTATGATCAAAATATGAGCATTTTTGAGTTGATTCAGAACCAGAATCTTTTTTTTTTTTTCAAATCAGAAAAAAATGAAGAGGCGAATCCGAGAACCAACAAGTTAAATTGGTGTGGCCTAACTAGACAATGTCGGTTACAACTCAGATACATTAACATACTATACATTAGATAACAGATAAGTCATTCTAACTACGGAGGCGGCCTGTGTTATTAGCCTAACGTTTCTCATTATTGCTGAAATTACACAATCGCAACGTACCACAATTTGGAGGAATATTTTCTAGACGTGTCTGTAGGGATATTGGAAGCTGTGTAGTAGCGACAGAAGAGTTATTTATGAAGGCACCTACAGTCCCCATTCCGCTGTATGACCTTGTTGTTTCTAGTGACCTTGTCGTTCATACCCAACTTTCCACCATCGGTTCCGCATGTATTATTCATCGCGCCATGATTGCTCCTGCCGCCCTCCCATCCATCTAAGCTCGGGGCTTATACACGATTTATGGCAGCAAGCATCCCTGCACTTCAGCCTGGACCTGCCAGGGGGCTCTGCATGTACATGTATTATGCATCGCGCCATGATTGCTTCTGCCTCCCTGCCATCCATCATCTAAGCCTGGGCTTATACCACGATTTATGGCAGCGGTTATACCTGCACTTCAGCCTGTACCTGACAGGGGGCATCGCGCCATGATTGCTTCTGCCGCCCTCCCATCCATCTAATCCTCGGCTTACATGTATACCGCGATTTATAGCAGTGGTTATACCTGCACTTCAGCCGGGACCTGCCAGGGGGCTCTGCATGTACATGTATTATGCATCGCGCCATGATTGCTTCTGCCGCCCTCCCATCCATCTAAGCCTGGGGCTTACATCACGATTTATGGCAGCAGGCATCCCTGCACTTCAGCCTGGACCTGCCAGGGGGCTCTTCAAAGCAGGACCGTTAGCATCACACGTTGTAGTTACACGTCTGTCATGCAGGTTACAATGTCGTTGTTTTGAAGGCTTCATTTTTTTCAACATTATCCTTTGCTGTTTTTCTTTGCTCGTTAATTGTTTATCACAGCCAGTTTTATATACATGTACTAGGGGAATAGATTTAATAGAATTAGAATTAGCAAAAAAAAGAAAACATTGGCCTTGTTGGATCCACTGCCAATGTTCCCTCAGACCCACCCATTTTTTCATAATGGCATCTGTGAATATGGGGGTCCTGGGTATAACATATAATTAGTAGTATTATAATTAGTAATACATCCATAGCTCAGTTTTAATTACTAGCACAGATGGCATGTAAAAGGGCAGATTGCGTGTAAAATTGGTTGCATGTAAAACATCGAAGCTTCACAAATGGACTGGAATATCCGTCAGACTGTCTGGCACCACTCCCAGCATGCATTGCTCCAGGCACCTTGTCAGAAACACTGGCCTTAATTCGTTAGTGGAGACGTATTTTCTGGTCATGGATAATTAAATAAAGAAGACATGTTTTCTTTTGACGGATAATTAACTAACGAACAACATATTTTCCTGTGGCTCGTAATTGATTTTGAGGAAGAAATATCTTCTTGTGGTTCATAATTAACTAATTTAAAGAGAATGTACGTCGGTGAAGATTAGACATCCAGGTAATTTTGAAGATTTGGGGAAAAAAAAACAGTTACTCAGGCAACTGGATATGATTTTGGAAACCGTGTCAGCCATTTCCCCCATATAACTACATTTGCAGAGAGGGTGCAAATATTTTCCTTTGATGGATAATGAACTAACAAAGAAGTATCACTCCTGTGGTTCATAATTAACTAACAAAGAACTAAGTGCAGTTCCAGATATCACTTTTGTGTAGTATTGTGTTAAGTTGTGAAGGTTATAGTGTCATATCCCACTATATCAGTTACAGTCAGTTTTTAGAGAAAAAAATTAGTCGATCAGTTTAAGAATTTGAGTTAATCCTCAAGTGCATCCTAATCCACCATCAGCCAAAAAAAGTCAGAGTAGGGTCGGCAGGTTTTTCTAGAAATTGGTCGGGAAACAGGAAACGTAACATTTTTCTTCCCAGGCATCATCTCCCAGTTCATCAGTTCCAGTCAGTTCCAGAGATCAGTTGATCAGTTTCAGAGTTCGAGTTTATCCCAGATAATCCCCAAGTGCATCCTAATCTCCCCTCATCCCAGCTGCAGGGTTGATTCTAATAAACCTGCGATTATAAACCACTTACTGGTTCCTATTATTATGTCTGACCTTCACGACCTTCAGGAGAAAAATGGCCGCCCAAAGCTGCACCTGATTCCATCTGTATGCTAATGAGGCCTTTATCAGTCATTATACATGCATAGTCTGGATACAGTAACAAAGGGAAATATGTATAACTTAGTCTTCATGCATTAACAATTAGAAAACATGTCATTTACTCATAATTACTTTGGCATTAGGATATATGATCTGGTTTGATAAGTGAGGGTAACAAAACTGAAGGGCTGAAGTACAGTCATTGTGATAAAGCCAGTGTTAGCATGTATGTCAAGTACATGTAGTTACATACAATGTATCTGCCTGTTCCAACAAATTACAAACATGTACTGTAAGTAAATACACATTTCTGCATCATGTAACATAATGTAACTGACAGTCTTGTTTTTTAACTTCTGCATTTAAGTTGTACTTTTGGGAAGTACATGTATAATACAAATTTTCATTGACAGTAAAATTCAAATTACATTGATTCAATAGTTAGTATCCAGTATTTGATTGAAGTAACTGTCACAGTAATTTTGAAATGTTCATTCAATTTGATAAGAAAAAGACCTACTGTGCAGGGAATGTGACTGTGTAAATAGCTCAGTAAAAAACTGCAAAGTGGACAATAAATCAGAATTTTGAAAGTATTTTGAAAAAGAATAGAGCAAAATAGAAGTAATTATTATTCTAACAAATTGTTTCTATAC